ACAACACCCCCGCTACGAGAAGGCAGTGAGTAGGACTTCCCTGGCAGAGGCTATATACGCGTGGCCATGTGAGAGCATTTCGAGAGGGAGAGCGGACTCTCCCCACTCTCGGTCGTACCAGGGCATTTGATAAGACATTAAAAAATAACTTAAATCAATATTGTTTTCATATTTAAGTAACGTTTATAATGATTTTTTCATACATAGTTTTAGTCAATTCTGAATGTGAATCAAGAATGAAGAAAACAAACTCGTAGATAATATGGGAAAATATGCCATGATACCGAAATAACATAAATAACCAATTAAATTTCATTTTATTTAACTGGATTATAAGATATTAAACTCTATAATTCTCAAAAGAAGTTCAAAATGAAAGGCAAATCAAAAGGACAACTGTGAACAAATCTTGGATCGAAGAAGTACTAAAAACATTAGAGAATTCTTAGAAGCTTGACGTTCATTTGGCTAATCACCATTTAACAAACATATCGAAATCGACCTAATTTAGCAACGAATCAGAGAAATCATAGACAACCTTAAGACTCAGAACAAGGACAAAACGAGAGACAATAAACATTAAGATACACAGAATGACAGATTAAGGGGTGACAACAACAACAACCAGTCAAGATCGAGATCGACAGAATAAGCTGTAAAGAAATTTGCATACTTCACTCCTACCAGAACTTTGTACTGATGATATTTTTCAGAAGAACAATGAAAGCTCCACCATCAAACTATCCAGCTTTGAAAAGAACACTTCAGAATCAGTATACCCTATAAAATTAAATATACTTTTACTGAAGGTATTTGATTACAGATGTCTTTGAAACAACCAACAACTACAGAATAACAACACAAATCTATTTAGGTTACTCTCCGAAAATGTTTATTTCCTTCTTTGTTTATATAGTTAAATGAATTTTCTAAGTAAATAAATCTAACTATAAAACGCATTATAATTTACAAATATATAAAAGAGTATTTCATATTACATTAACAATCTTTACTTTATTTGTAGTTTCAATAAATAAAACTACTTAGAAACTGTTCTGGTTTATTAAACATTTCACAGCAGTATAATAATCAAAATAATTAAATAAGTAGCTAAAACACACTTGGTAAACAAAACATTAGTTCAATTTAAACTTTCAGAAAGAAAATTTAAAACGTGTGCACACACACACATGACAGAGATTAGACATTGAACGGTAGAAATGTTAGAAAGTATTTAAAACGAAAGACGATGATAATGGTGAGCTGTAATAACGAGTTTCTTCGCTCTCTCTTTTTCTCTCTCTCTCGCTCACACACACTTGATTGAATCTGATGAGTTTAGCAAGAAAAAAAACAAAACTGACCAAAACCAATCACGGCATCTTTCAATATATTTTAGTTAAAATGGTTTTGTACATATTGATCTGAATTCTAGGTTGTATTCGTCACAGATAGATATCTTACTTAAAGTATTGGAGAAAATTAGAGGAAATAGGATAGCTATTTTGTTCTAGTATGATACTTAGTATCAAGCACCCACCAATTCATCAGGAACCGGAAATAAAATCTTTAGCTATCGTAACAAGCACACAACCATTAAGAGTAAGGAGTTAATACCCAATAACACAATTTTGACTCCGATCAATTTGCGATATACCTCGACGATTGTTTAATACCACTAGTAATTGGTAAGGTTCAGGCAAGCCCAGGATGAAACAGTTTTTCTATCAGTCACATTAGATGATCATAGTGCCATTTTACAGATCTAATTGAAGTTGAAAATGTACCACTGAGTCCGAAGTCAGCGATTTTAAAGGGTAGGCGTTTGCTGCGAGAACTGAAAGTTCTGACTTTAATCCTGAGTGAAGTGCATGCGCATTGTTGAGGATCCTCATACTGAGAAGAAACTGTTGCCTAGTTCTTCCTGATTATAAATGCCAGGTAGATCAGTTAAACGCAACATAGAGATGGCAAAACACACAGTAATAATAGTGGTAACAGTATTAATGGTAATAAAAAAGACTGTACATTCAATACACAATTCGAGATTTAGAAACTTAGGACCTAAAGGTAGGAAAGGAATGAATGCACCTGTGCCATTGAGAACGATTTCAAGCCGTCATTCAAAGTTTCTAACTACCGAACATGCAACCGTCACATTTGTTGATGTATGTTTCTTTATTAATACAACTTAAAACAACAAGTCACAATTTGTGTGAGTTTATGATATCATAAAACCCTTCAAATCAAAGTGAGTTCGAGTCAACAACGTGATGGTTGAAAATCGAAAGTTATTACTACCAAACCACTGACTCATACAAACACACACTATTGACTACCTAGCACTCTAAACTAAACCCTAAAATGGGATAGTCTATCCCATTGTATATAACTCTTTTGTAGCATAATAGGCTTCAGAATATCTACCGGAAAAGTGGTTTTTTACAAATTTGCAAACATATACTTTTTAGAGAATTTCTTCAAGGAAATCGAAAATTACTCTGTAAACTTTAAAATGGCAACTGCAGAATAGCCCTGTTTGCCATACTTATCAACACTGAGGCAGGAAGAAAAGTTAACATACAGAAATAATCCGGCCATAAAAGTAGTAACCAAAAAGAATGTGAAAATAGGGCAACGAACATCGAAAATTCATCGTCTTTCATAAACGTTATATTTACAGTCACGGGTTTTATGCACCGCTTTTATGCATGTCTATTTTGGAAACTATTTTAATGTCTCAGTCAAATAATAGAACACTTACCAGAACCCAATCAATCACTAAATAAACTTGACTAATCCTCAGATTTCAGGTGAGATTGAGGATGTATTAGGACATATCTATTCCACAAAAAATGTACTACCTTGATCATGAGATGAGAAGAAACCAACTACATATTAGCCAGAATCACAGAAAACTTCAACTGCGTCTCAAGGTTAGAAAACACATATTTAAATAGTTTTCAGGGATATAACGTTGGAACTTTTCAAATCAGTAAGATACCATCACGCCCATGTAAAAATCAGATCCTATTAGATACCCTGCAACTAGAAAAAACGCAGACAAAATGAAGATTATATGAAGTAGTGTGACTGAAAATATATGGATGGATTTATACACCCCGTATTTTTGAATCTGTAGAATCATAAACTACTTCTTGTCTATTTGTGATTATTAACAGAGCTAAGAGTTTATTGCTGAATAATATTTTATCAGTCGGTGTCTTAAAAAAGGTACTGCAGTAATATGATATAAGAGCGAGGCTAAAAATAAATTGAGTACGCTTTTAGATTTTCAAGTAGTGTGCTCGGAAATAATAGTGAGTGAAGTAACAAGCGGCAGATCTTAGCGAGTAGTAAAGTGACTTTCTAAACTGATATTTTATGATATTTGTTAGGAGCGACATATCAACCAAAAGCACTTACTATAACTTTGGTACAGTTAAAATGGACATGACCGAAAAATTTAAAGGTTTAACTATAAGCACTTGACGTGTTGACTTTGAAAAAGCCCACCTCATAATATTGCTTATCTAAAAGAAACATAATAATTTGAGTTTGTGACAATATTTAAAAATGGTGAAAGATTGCAAAATATTCATTGGAAAACTTCATAAACGCTTATATTAAGAAAAACGCGACTACGACTATTTAGCCTTGATCACGGAATTAATGATAGTAAAGTATGGCCATATTAAAATTACAACATAACAGCCTGTCTATCTAAATGACTTTGTCGAGCTTAGTTCAACTAGAAGTGCAATTTTTGAGAAGAGACTGAGGACTGCTGGAAATTTAGTCCAAAACACTATGTTCGTATGTGACATATTATAATGTAGGTGGGACTTAAATGAGATTCTTTGTTTGAAAATTTACTATTCAGTTGATCAGCCAAAGTGTGGTTCCGAAACATGTTCAACTCTAGCCAACAACTGATGGCTTAGTAAAATTAAAATCAACAGTATATACAAAAACAGAATCGATTCCGGAGTGTTAAAAACTAAAGTTGGTAGATGTGTTTTTTGCAAGTATAAACAACAACAGGAAAAACAACATACCGAGAATTCGCTTGTGAAAGTGGGTTCGCTTGTACCAAAATTAAGTTCAATTATTTAAAGTATGACTACTATGAATAGTACAAACTATTTATATGGCCTTCACATTTTATAGCTAAGATGTAAATCTAACAACAGAATTACTCAACTTGTCCAGTTTTCATATCTGTTATCACAGAGAAACAACACAAAACACTTCAGTTTATCTATCAAAACTACTACCAATCAGACATGCAGTGAGGGTTATGGAAACGCAATAATCTTCACAAGTGAGGACAGATCTCTATGGTCAAATATTTGTTTGAAATATAGGAGGAATCAGTACACAACAATGAAGGAATGGATTTAAAGTAATGTCACAATAAATTTACTTAGGAAGAGAAAAAGTCAGCACATATGTTTTCACAAGTATTCAAATATATACTACATTAAATCTTCTAAAAATAAGTAGTTTGTTACGGGGTAGTCTTAAAGCGTAACACTGGGATTAAACACACACAGAGAGGCAAGTTTGCGGATGTTACGAATCTGTAGTACTGAGGCAAATTAAGATTCTTAAACGGCTACAAATTAGGCATTCACTCAATCAAATTAGTCCAATATCTGTTCATTAAATAGCATGCAAAAATAAAGCGAACTATAAAATGTGTATTTGTCAAAAAGCCCCTAAAACCTGGAAGTGAGGTAATCCCATGTTTCGTTTTCATTATTAGAGTTTGTATCCCGGATTGTGCAGGTATGTTTTGAATCTTCCTTAGACTAGTACTTAGAGTTTTAAACAGATAAATGGGGAATGACTGGAAGTCAGGAAGTTCACAGTAATCCAATTTGAAAATACATCTGCAATTAAATAAGGTGCACTATTTCGCTGATGAATATAAGGATAGATATTAGTTAAAGAATCACTAGGTAACTAGATTAATCTCAACACATTAAAATAATTACCTTGCAGGCCTCGCAAACGTATGCCCGATGGTGGAATCCGACAGCTGGCTGACCACAAATCTGGCAGGCTTGGTCTTCAGACCGGGTTTGATACTGTACAAAGGCATGTTCAGGAGTGAGAATAGATCCATCGTCATCAGGTAGATAAACTCCTTGACATAAATGTGTTTTACAAGCAGTGGATGACGTCGGAAGAGAGTTATTGTTGTGGTGAGAGTCAGAGCACGTTTTGTCAAAGGTTTTAGAAGTCACATTCTCAAGTTTACCGTTAGTTGAATCAGGGGGAACGTTGACGGTTATGTCCATTTATGGTTCAAATAAATTTACACATAAGTGCGACAAAATACACACTGTATAAATATTAATAAAGGTGCAGAGAAATTTATATGACGTATAAAACTCTGGAAATAAAGTTTCCAAGCCAGATATTAAAGCATGTGATATATATTAGCAACAATTGTATGTAATTATTACTCCTTCTATTAGTTTTAAAAAAATAAGCGAATTCTTTAGGTAGGTATAACACAGGGAAATTGAAGTAACATCATTTCCTGGAGATTTTATGTCCAGTAATCTGAGGGAAGCGAAAAGTTGAAGAGGACCTTGAAGAGACCTTGGAAAAAGATGTACTCGCGAAATTTAAAACAGGCGCTTTTGAAGGTACACATCTAATAGCACGAACGAACTTGCAAGGTATTGAAGTCATTAAAACTTTATTTCACTTTAAAACTTGTGCAAATTTTCTATGAATTACATTGCCAGTGATAATTAAAATGTCATTTTCCAACATCATTGTAATTTTTGATATTGAATATGAGTGCATCAAATAGTTTTGGATAAAAACAATGAAGTTCACGCTTGACAAACACTGTACTCAGTGACAGTAGATCACTTAACCCTCTAGACAAAGATTCCGGTTAATGAGACTTGGTGAAATCTATTGGTGAACCTGTATTAATCCTAACAGTTCGCTTATCAGCGAAACTGCTGCTTCCCTTTGAAAGGATTCACTGGTATAGCTGAAACTGCGTGTTTGGGTAATGCGTTTCAGTCGCTGACTACAGAAATTCACCCCGTCTTTATTAGATTTCGGTTTTTGAACAGTTTCTCTAGATTCGAAGATTACTAGTGATGGAAGTAGCAAAACGTTACGACATATCAACACCCAAATAGTAATTAAGGGTACAGAATGACGACGTAAGGACCCGTTCCTTTCTGCAACATGATAAGAGGAAATACTTTAAGCGTTTTAAGCGCTCATCGTAATGAGGTTTCGAAATACCATCCAATAATTTTGTTTACCCCCACTGTACATGCTCACGTGAGTTAATATCCTTAATAAGATATGGGTCAATGAATTCGATACAGTACTCTAAATGTTTCAGTTTCAGTTTCAGTTTGCGAAGGACAGGAGGCCTGATGGCCTGTGTTAGTCCTGGCAATGGTGGTCTCTTAGTTGATCCAGCTCTCTTTTGAATGAGTCGACGGATGGAGCCTCAAACACGTGCTAAGGTAGTGAATTCCACTCGTTGATGATTGGATAGGAAAGTCGATAGTCAGCTGACAACTAATTTGTTCTTAGCTTGTGAACGTTTTTTGAGTGTCCTCGTGAATACACTATTTTGGAAGACAAGAAAAATGAGGACATGTTAGGTGCAAATTTAGCACCAAGCAATTTGAAAACTGTAACCAAGTCGCCTTTAGTTCTGCTATATGACAACGGGAAAAGGTTCAGCGTGACCAGTCGAGCTTCATACGGAAGCTTTGCTATTCCGGGAATCAGCTTAGTTACCGTTCTCTGAACTTTTTCCAGATGCTCACTGTCTTTTTTTAAGCAGGGGCTGGCCGCTTGTATGCAGTGCTCAGGTTTAGGACGTACAAACACTGTATACAAAGTCAAAAACGTCTTAGCGTCGACATGACTAAAAGCTCTACGTATTGACTTTTGGCGGCTATTGCACGGCAGTGTGCAGTAGTCTTTAAGTCCAGGCTAACGATGACTCCTAAGTCATTATATGTCTGGACGACAGGTAGCTCAGTGTCATTCTTCGTGCATGCATCTGTACCTTGATGACCGGCAAATGCCGGGTTTGAGATCATTCAGAAAACTTCTCCAGGTCATTTTGAAGTTCTAACCTATCACTCTTACATCGAATCGTCCTCCATATCTTGACATCGTCAGCATATAGCAAGACCGATGATGATAGGAGACGAGGAAGGTCAGTTACATACAAGAGGAATAGCACTGGCCCCAAAACCGTACTCTGGGGCACTCCACTAAGCACAGTTTCCCAGCTAGATAACTTTGAGTTCACCCGAACTCTTTGTTGACGCCCAACTAAGAAGTCTTTTATCCACATCAATAGATTGCCTTTAATCCTGACATTTCTTAACTTATATAACAGCCGGTTGTGCGGAACTTTGTGAAAAGCTTTGCTGAAATCAATGAAGGCTACGTCTACAGGTAGCTTTTGGTCCTTAAGAGCGCACCAGCTTTCACGAGCCACTAGTAAGTTAGTGAGAGAAGAATAACCTATTCTGAAGCCATGCTGCTTCTGGGAAAGGATCTGGTTTTTATTGAGATACTTAAACAGCTCCTTCCGAATAATCTTTTCTAAGATTTTAACAACCACACTAGTTAGGCTAACGGGGCGGTAATTCTCAGGCTTTTGTTTCGTACCTGTTTTGAAGACAGGATCTGTATGCGCTGACGAAAAGGGCGCTTCTATGGTATATACGTTGCTAAAGTAGTTCGAGAACATTTGAACCTTACCTAAGTCGTCCTCCACTAATGATTCGGCAGTACTGTCTCCCCATAGAGCAGGAATATTTCCTTTTCTCCTTGTTCTTTGGTTTATATAAGATACAAGCGTTTAGGACATTCTATGGATTCCTTGACAAGTTTTCCTTCGTACAATTTTCTAGACTTATGGAGGGTCGAGGCACAAGTATTCCGAGCCTTTCGATACTGAGATTTTGACTCATCAGTCCCCAGTAACCTAAATCTATCCCATATTTTCCTTTTCTTACGGAGAAGGATACGGACCTCCCTACTGAACCATGGTGGTGAGTTTTTCGGCCCCTTTGGTATAGTCCAAGGGATGTGAGGTGTGGTAACTTGGAAGTGAAAATGATCAGAAGTACTTCTTATTGTTTTCCACATTTTTACATCACTCGCGAGCAATAATGTCAACGTTTTAGGCAGTCGCGGCAATTCATTGATGCGGAGGAGGAAAAGTAAGGGAACTGGGTTGGTGTCTTGGGGTATGCCACTTTTTACCGGCTCCCACTCAAATAATGTTTAATTTACCTTCAATTTGTCTTTGGCCACACAAAATCTTTCTTTAACATACGTATACAGCACCTGTTACTCCGAATCCCTGGAGCTTCTGCATATGACAGTGATAAACCATGTCAAATGCTCTACTTAAGTCTATAAAAATCTCATTGGCTGACAAAACGTTAACCAGAAGCGCTCTCCGACTCACTCTCGCCATAAGTAAGGTGATTAAGCATAAGTGCTGGTTTTGACACACGTGCTGTTCTGCAGCTAACGGTGTGTTTGATTATCTGTAACTTAAATAACTAAACCGAAACGTAGTTTAAAGTAAAGTAAGTAATAATCTATTTACAAGGGCGGGTCGGCAGTTAAGCTCGTTCTGTTCCTGACGATCTTTAAATATGGGACTAACCATACCATCTTTACAATCCCTAGGATGTTGAGTATGAAAAAGGGGCATGTTAGAGAGCGTTATGGGTGACCTTTAAATAATGTTTGCGAGAGATGACAACAATCGTGGATATAACCCATCAGAACCCATTGTCTTACTGGGTCTGAGATTAATGATCAATTGAAAAACAATCTCCTCATTCATATCTACAGGTCTTAAAGTTGGTATTTTAGTGGTGTGCATATGACAAGTATTGTTACGCTACTGCAGATCAGGCTTCGCTGAAATAGTTTGATAAGGTCTCAGCTTTCACCTGATCGTATTCAGCTAGTATATCTAAAATGTTTTGCAGTAGTAATTAAGAAATACCATCAATACGCTTTGTTCTTCGGTTAATGTACGAGAACAATTGTTTTGGGCAGGTATGGCTATCATATGCCAACTGTCTTTCATAAGCCGTGCGAAATCTGGCTATAGTCTTTTTACATATATTTCGGACTTTTTGGGATTAACATTAAAATGATTCGTGGCCCGCTGACAAGAACATGTCACAGAAGTTTTTCTACGCCTCGGTATTTTTTGGGTATCCTTATCGACTTATGAAGAGCAATGTGGTAGTCTACGTGTTAACCATGTGATGGACGGTGATGTTACAGACCTGGATGTGGCTTTAAACATATCCCATTCGTTTCTGATCAATCCATGTGCATAGATCGCCTGGTCTGTTGAAATAGCATAGTCTTTGACTGCCGGAAGTCGGATCACCGGATATTAGTACGACTGGAGCAGATACACACAGTGGTGTGTAAAGACTAGGTACAGCAATGACGGTCCATGTTCCTGGTCAATATATGTCGGATTGCAATACGTTATACAAGTGCACATCAAATAAGGGTTGATAGCAGGCCTCTATCGAGACATCCACCTGAAGCTGTAAGCTTTATCTAGTCAATATTCGGCGCGTTCAAATCTCCATAATGAGGAAAAACTCGGCCATACTCCAAGAGCAAATATGACTTAAGATAAAGTCCTCAGAAAAACAACGTAGACACCAGTCTACTCCGCATTCGGTCATGAACTCGTGCTTAGACTTAATTGTACAAAATAGCTACCTCATGAGCCTCCGCCATGACCGATTTTTACACGAAATTAACCTCTAATATATAGATCTATACCTTCTCCCTTGCGATTTCTAAGCGTCACTCATAGTACGGACGTGTTTTGTAATGATGAGGGAACAGTCTATACCTATGGTGAGCCACGTTCCTGTGACAACAATTATGTCGGGACGTGAGCCATCCATCAAATAAATATGGCTTTCATCAATTAGGCACTTGTACCTCCGTTTCTTCCTATTTATTGAAGTATGCTTTGAGTCAGAGTTCTCTAGAATTCACTAACCGTTTCATGTTTAGGCATCACAAATTTTTCCTCATTGTTCAGATTTTTGGTGTCCCTTAAACACCTATGTTACACTGGATCTAGGATTATGTGATTGTGATTGTCACAGGATGAGAATTTTTGCTTTCTCTGTAACTGTCTTGGGGGTCGTGATCGAAGATCTAATGAATAAATCATTTAATAGGTTTCTGAGTTTCCATGATTTACCGTTGTTAATTTTTCGGTACATGTAGCCCAGTTAAAGTGGATCAAGCGGTTATCAACACTATGCTCTGCATGAAGTGCTTGCCATAAATGCAGTAGTTTGTCCGTTAAATCTGACTCTCTCGATAGGACTTCATTAGTGTGCTCCAACACGTTTTGAGTGACGTTTAGTTTTAAACACCTTTATTCCACTAAAAATGGTTGTTTGTCGAATGCCAGTACTGCTGGCATATCTTTGAAAATTTTCCGCACCGAGATATTACGTGCGTGCAAGTTGATCATAATGATGACCATGATATTGATGTCATTGGTACAGTTATCCAAAAATGTAAACAGTAGATCTCAAATGATATGGGCACAGAGTTAAGCACCATAAACTGTATGCTCTTTAAATTACCGACCCCATTCTGGACATTTATTAAATACAGAATAGTTTAGTTTGACCTTTCGATAGTCGTGCATGCTGAAAATTCAGCGATCTTAGGGGCTTCATTAAGCAGTTCAAGAAATCCATGACATTTAGTCATCACTTTTCTTCTCGTTTGTGAGCTATGAAAAAATACGGTGGCATTTCACAAAAACGGTTTTAGGGGGTGGAATGTGACCACAATCACTTTACATGGTACGGTAAATTAAGCACTGAGCCTGTTTAAAAAAGTTGAGCTGAGCTCAACTTTAATTTGCCCTAAAAGCTGGCACATCATTCACTACACCCTTCAAATATAACAGTAATATTATAGAGATATTCATGCACGGCCTAAGAAATTACACCAGACTAGTCTATATACAGGATTATGAGACTACAGTACCCGAAACATCTTTCTACGTAAGCTGTATGTTATCTAAAATAAGCTACAAGTTGAAATTTGATGGACAAGTATTTTGGTTTGTTTATCTTTAAAGATAAAAAATCTTTAAATGACCCTTAGAAATTAAATGTGCTATTAGTATACCCGGGTAAATAGACTGTAGCGTGGCGTCGAGCCGAAATTGACTATGAACATTGCTACAGAGAATCCCGCGGAAGCCAAATATCAGAAGGCAGTTAATGGACAAAGTCGAGATATATTTGCTGGCGATGTCGTGGTATCGAAAGGATACTGAGATCGTGCCAGGATACAAGCTTGGTTACAGAACGCAACGGAATTCGCGCGAAGTCACAATCAAAGTGTGTGAATAATGGATGCTTTTTAGCACAGTTAAACAAAAGCACATTAAAACAGTCACTGGTACAATTGGTTATAATAATAATTGTTTTCAATAAACTAATCGTGTTCTCGTGATAAAAGTGAGTCACTACAAGACTATGGAAAATATTCTACATTCTATTAACAAATAGCATTTATTAACATATTGAAAAGATGGCAACTGGAACGTTTATACTTCTCTTCAGCCTTCGCTCAACTATCATTGACTACTAATGTAGAGAATCGTGAACATTTATCAATTATGTGACTTTCTTCGCATATTACACGTAATGGATTGGTGCCAATTTTATAGAACGACAGCTTTTATTTGAAACAGACTACCTTGCTAAAAATTCGTATTCACTAATTCTATAGTTCTAACCACAAATTAAAATTTTCAGAGCAACCCACTGTGTCCAACTAAGGTGACTTGGAATTTTAGCTTTTCTTAAAGACAACAGGATTGTGCTTACTGTAGGTAACATTATACCACAGGTATAAGTTACATCTGATCCTTGAGCTGGGAACAACAATTAAATCTACTACTCTGATGAGTTACATCAGCCTCTTTTATCGATAGATTTACACAAACGAAAAGGTTATGAAACTTAAAAAGACAGTACTCGTATACGAAAAACGAGAGTTAGATTATCTAAAAGTAACTACTTTTGTTAATAACTAAAATGTATGTAAGAAAAACTTCTGTTAGGATGTTTTTATTGAAAACGCACTTGATAGCTTTAGTTACAGGTAAAACAAAATACGAAGATTTGAAAAATACCACCTCCTTCTAAATTTGCTGTGGTTGTTTGACAAGAACAAAGCCAAAAGGTTACTTTTAGTTTGGGCAGTCAAAATCACAGTTAATCTGACTCCCTTGTGAATATGCTATTTTAAAAAATCGTATCCATGTATTATGTCAACGAGTCTTGCTTCTTGTTTGGTAAAATGATTTACTCCATAAAACATCTCTTGAGGGGAAAATATTTTGGTAGCTTTAGTCAATGGTTGATAACTTGACAACAACTTGTTGTCTTAAGGTGTCATGGATATACAGGGTTTGAGAACGATGTTATCTGTGACACCTTTATAATAGATAATCTCAAACCCATCCAAATCAGAAGTCAGAAATTAAGATGTTTGAAGATATGTTTGTAAGACGGTCAATGCGTCGAGAAGTATATAATCTCACCGATTAGTTGTCGTAAGGAATGCGTTGCCCTGAGTACTTGGTTGTGATCTGATTCGGATGCGTGACCTAGCGCCACTAGCTAGGGTGTATCCAGTAAAACTAGTGAGGTCAGCACTAATGTGGAAGACTTACAGAACTATTTATTTCAGGGATTTATTAACCGTAACATATCCTTTAACAAATGTGGTCGTTTAATAATTGTGTAAAGGGTAACTTGTATTGTCTACCACATTATTTTGCTTTCAGTCATATTTAAAATAAACGGATAAAGAGGAACGAGGGCTGAAATTTGATAACGTGCTTATTTGTCGTTGCTGTTGAAGAAACACCACTATTGTGTTTAAGACGATGAGTAAGGTAGATTACTAGATGGTCCACAGTACAGAGGTTCTCTTTATTAAATAGAACTCTCAGAATGATCAAACTTACTACCGATAATGCTGTCAGGAGAAATTGTGCAATTTATAGTAAAAGACAACAGCTCCAAGGTAACATCATTACTGCACTGTCCTACAACATGGTTATATGTTTGTCTTTTCGTAGCTTTGATAGATAGTGTAGTTTATAAAGGGAGCTCTATCAAGCATTGACACGGAAGTAAGTTATAAGATGGTGAGTTTATTCAATGGTTAATATATGGTCACCGCCAGAAGTAAGAGCTTTTATACAATTCATCCTTTTTCAAGTGCTTCATTCGAAAACAAAATAATATACTCATTTAGTGGCCTTTCATTTTGACGTCAATTTGATCGGACGACGTTGTCGACGGGCTCACCACTTTTGTGGCCCAATATCTGATTCCAAATAGATCATATGAATGATTGTTGTCAAAATATACATTTTGGCCATCCTCGTGTATAATTATCGACTTAACTCGTGTAAGTGAATAACGGAATTAAAATAAGTCAAATATGAAAAAGGATTTCAAATACGTGTATTTTGTACAATCATTGATCCAGGCAGACAATCAACTGAACGAAGTGGAACGAAACGATGCGCCGTGAATACGTGTGAGCCAACTTGATTTAATCAAGCGTTGATCGATATTGATCGTCACACAAAAATAAGTAACGGACATGTGATAAATGAGATAAGGTGTACACACACATACGCTCATATAAAAACGGTCAGGTTTGATGAGTGAATAAGTGACAAGCTCAAAATATGATTTAAGAAGAATGAATGAATGAATGAATGAATGAATGAATTGACCTGTCCAGAAGCTAGAATAAGTTATGTAGTAGTCGACACTACACTACAACCCAAGTGGTATGTTAGTTGGCCTATGACTTGAATCACTAGTTTTATATACGAAAAGATGCATTCAGTATATACATTAGGAAGCGATAGTGTGGACTACCAATATAGAATTAATAACAGCCCCTGTGAAAATTCGATAGGTGGTTTTTGAATTTAAGAGAATGCATTTTACCTTAAGGCAGTTTAAATAAACTAATATTTATTGTATTCAGAAGAAACATATCAAGTCCGAAGTATAGAGATTGCAAGAAAGATTGTAGAGGCTCCTAATAAATGATAGGATGTTTCAGGATGATCACTAAATTGTTAAGAATCATCATTTGTAAATGTACAGAATGGGAGTTCTAATCATCGGTACTAGTGTTAGGAAATATCTCAGCCTCTGTTGCCCGAAACATGTTACAGACAAAGTAGACTATACAAATCAAGCTTAATAAGTGGATGATCACATATTTGATGATATACTTGGTGAAAAGATCAATTGTAATACATGTTTTAACCTAGTGTTCATTGAACTATTCAAAGGAGGATCTTGTAAAATCTATGCATTTTTTAAAACATATCTAACTTTATAATCAACCGCTTTATTACTTATTCGGTTTGCTAGACCATATACTTTACGTTGCTCAAAATAATCGAACGACTCACTTAACAGATTATTGATTCTCTGAAAGATTTAAAAAGTGATACACACCATAAACTATAATATCAATAAGATACTAAATAAATAAATAAAAAAAATAAATAACTAGTGACGGTCTTTAATAGGTATTTCCTGGAGTTCTAGTGAGACACCGTGAACAGTGGCGTTCAACCAGGTCTGTGGTGAGATAGTAACTCACAGATGACAATAGTGGATGGTGGCGTAATTTCGTGGATTATTTGAAGTTGGACATTAACACCGTTGGATGCCTTAACAGTGATCTAGTGGTTAAGCGCTCGCACTTGAGACTGATATGTCCTAGGTTCGATGTCGTGGATGAGCCCTGCTGAGGAGTCTCACGATGGGACAAAACGGCCTTCCAGTGCTTCCAGGTTCCTCATGGTGGTCTAGCTTCAATTGATTCATGAATTCATCTACTAAAACTGCTATAATATCCACAAAGTTCCTCTCTGAAAACAAATATAACTTAGAACAACCATCTTATTTTTATCATTATAGGGGTTTTGGAGATTATTCAGATTTTAATTTAGATCATGAACCGATTGATGTTAGACCACCGTTGGAAACCTGGAAGCACTAGACGGGCCATTTCGTCCTATTTTGAGCCGGCATCCAATGGTGTTTGTGTCTAACATCAACCAATCCACGAAATTGCGCGACCATCTTCCATTGTACTGAGGTAGATATCTGTCTCTACCCGACACGGATTAGGTTAATCGGTCATTTCTTCTCACTAGAACTCCGAGAATTCCTTCACGAAGCTAATCACTAGTGAGCACATGGTAATTATCTTATTTTTTTCTTCCCCCTAGTCCAATTAGAGCTATAAACTGGAGAACGAAAAAGTGTATCGCACTCGAAATGTAAATGTTATTATTATTATTATAGTAATAGTAGTAGTAGTAGTAGTAGTAGTAGTAGTAGTAGTAGTAGTAGTAGTAGTAGTAGTAGTAGTAGTAGTAGTAGTAGTAGTAGTAGTAGTAGTAGTAGTAGTAGTAGTAGTAGTAGTAGTAGTAGTAGTAGTAGTAGTAGTAGTAGTAGTAGTAGTAGTAGTAGTAGTAGTAGTAGTAGTAGTAGTAGTAGTAGTAGTAGTAGTAGTAGTAGTAGTAGTAGTAGTAGTAGTAGTAGTAGTAGTAGTAGTAGTAGTAGTAGTAGTAGTAGTAGTAGTAGTAGTAGTAGTAGTAGTAGTAGTAGTAGTAGTAGTAGTAGTAGTAGTAGTAGTAGTAGTAGTAGTAGTAGTAGTAGTAGTAGTAGTAGTAGTAGTAGTAGTAGTAGTAGTAGTAGTAGTAGTAGTAGTAGTAGTAGTAGTAGTAGTAGTAGTAGTAGTAGTAGTAGTAGTAGTAGTAGTAGTAGTAGTAGTAGTAGTAGTAGTAGTAGTAGTAGTAGTAGTAGTAGTAGTAGTAGTAGTAGTAGTAGTAGTAGTAGTAGTAGTAGTAGTAGTAGTAGTAGTAGTAGTAGTAGTAGTAGTAGTAGTAGTAGTAGTAGTAGTAGTAGTAGTAGTAGTAGTAGTAGTAGTAGTAGTAGTAGTAGTAGTAGTAGTAGTAGTAGTAGTAGTAGTAGTAGTAGTAGTAGTAGTAGTAGTAGTAGTAGTAGTAGTAGTAGTAGTAGTAGTAGTAGTAGTAGTAGTAGTAGTAGTAGTAGTAGTAGTAGTAGTAGTAGTAGTAGTAGTAGTAGTAGTAGTAGTAGTAGTAGTAGTAGTAGTAGTAGTAGTAGTAGTAGTAGTAGTAGTAGTAGTAGTAGTAGTAGTAGTAGTAGTAGTAGTAGTAGTAGTAGTAGTAGTAGTAGTAGTAGTAGTAGTACCTGCATGTGCACTTGTCTTACCTTTGATTAATTTATCTTAGTGTAACATATTTAAACTTCACAAAGGTAATAAATGTATATGCATAGTTATAAAAGAAAGCGTAATTGCCTTTGAAATAAAATTATATCAGAAGTTTTTAGAATACATACAGAATTAGGGGAGAAAATAATTCAATATTACAAGAAACTACTCATATAATTTAAAGTAGTAACATTTAAATTCCAAAAAAAGTGAATAAAAGAACAAATTGAATATTATTGTTAATAGGGTCTTTTTAACTGTTTTTTTTTTAAAGATAGTTTTTAATCATTCAATCATTACGAGAATAAATTAAGCAGAACATGGTGTTTTCCATATTAATACAGCGAATCTACCTAAACAAAAATGAAATAATGTATTTGGTTCATAACTAAATCTTCCCAAATGTTGATTAACCGATGTTATAATATGCCATGATTTACCATAACGTGTATCAAAATATTCTTTTAAACGTTGCATAGCTTGATCTAATTTCTCCATATCAATATTTGTTTTACGACCAGATTCACGTAGATCATCAATAAATAATTCCATAACTTTAACTTTCATTTCTAAATCCATATCATCGTATATCGTTTCTAAATCACGTGGCATTAATTGTTCTAATAATACTGTTGTACGTCGTCTTCGTATCTCGCGCCTTTTTTTTGGGGGGGGGGATGTAATAGTGAAAATAAAAAAATTGATCAATGGTAGAAAGATAAACTTAAAAACTAAGCGTTTCTTTATATACGATGAGCTATGAAATCCAAATGCCTTCGTGTCCTTCACACAAAGAAGTGATATTCTGAATTGAATAATTTAGTAAATAATGTGTTTTTTTAAATGCTTATAAGCGTTAAAATGTAGGCATATTCTACTGACAAGTTATAAATACAATGAAATATGCATCGTGGTTTCTAATTATCTACTTACTAACTTATGCCTGTTACTCCTCGTAGAGGAGCATAGGCCGCTCATCAGCATTCTCCACTTAACTCTGTCCTTGACAATCCTTTCCAATTGTTTCCAGTTGCTATTCATCTTTTTGATATTTGATTCCAATGCCCAATGTAATGTGTTTCTTGGTCTTCTTCCTTTTTTGTTTCCCTTCAGAATTATAAGTTAGCGCTTGCTTCGTGATGCAGTTTGATGATTTCCATAATATATTTTCTACCCACCTCCATCGTGTTTTCCTAATTTCCTCTTCAGTTGGATGATGATTTTTTCTCTTCCATAAAAGACTGTGACTAATGGTATCCGCCCAATGGATGTTGAGTATCTTGCGTAGACAACTATTTATAAATACTTGTATCTTCATGATGATGGTTGTAGTAGTTCTCCAGGTTTAAGCTCCATACTGTAAAACTGCCTTGACGTTGGTATTGAAGATTCTCCCTTTGATATTGGTTGAAAGTTGTTTTGAGTTCCATATGTTCTTCAATTGCAGGAATGCAGCCCTTGCTTTGCCAATCCTCACTTTCATGTCTGCATCTGTTCCTCTTTGTTCATCGGTGATGATTATCTGGTAATTGAAGGATCCTATATCTTCCAGACTTTTGCCAACAAGTGTGATGAGATTGCTGATCCCCGTGTTGTATTTGAGGACCTTGGTTTTCCCTTTGTGTATGTTGAGGCCTACTGATGCAGAGACTGTTGCTACACTAGTTGTCTTTATCTGCATTTGTTCATGTGTATGCAATAGGAAGGCTAGGTGATCTGCGAAGTCAAAATCGTTTAATTGGTTCTGAGCTGTCCATTGTATGCCGTGTTTTCCCTCAGATGTCGAGGTCTTCATAATCCAGTCGACCACCAGAAGAAAGAGGAGGGGAGGGAGTAGACAGCCTTGTCTGACTCCGGTCCTTACTTGGAATGCATCTGTCAGCTGTCCTCCATGCACGACCTTGCACTGTATTCCGTCGTATGAGTTCCGGATAATATTGACAATCTTCTCAGGAACTCCGTAGTGTCGAAGAAGTTTCCATAACGTTCTCTTATCTACACTGTTAAACTCCCTTTAATAATCAATGAAGTTGATGTATAATGACGGGTTCCACTCAACTGATTGTTCGACGATGATCCGTAATGTTGCGATTTGGTCTGTGCACGACCGATCCTTACGGAATCCAGCTTGTTGATCTCGAAGTTGGGCGTCTACCGAATCTTTCATCAGGTTCAGCAACACTCTGTTGAAAACCTTTCCTGGTACTGACAGTGGTGTGATGCTTCTGTTGTTTTTGCATACATTATAGTTCATGCATTATGTCTGTCGACATAAGTAGCATACAGCACAATCTAACTTTAATGAAGATTATTTCTATTATATTAAATTTATTGATGCCTCGGAAAAATTGATATACTCTACATGCTATTCATAGTTTTAATCCTTATTAATTTTACAATAGCCTAGATAATAAACCAGTATTTGATTGAGATCATGAATCGGTAGATTTTAGATCACCAACACTGAGGATTCCTATACTAGGATGAAAAGGCCGTTCAGTGTTTCCAGGTTTTCAATGGTCGTCTAACATCCATCGATTCATGATCTCAATCAAAAACTTAAAAATCTTCACAATCCCATACAGATAAACGAGTATTTAGTAACATTAATTATACTGATCAATTATAATTTACTTGAATGGATGTAACACATGTGAGTTGGCTGGCAACAAAGATAAGGAGTCAATTCTGGAATATACTTCTAGAAAGCAGTATGAATCGAAGTTCCCTCAAAACAAAATTTTGAAATGCATCTTATATTTTATGCATTTAAGTGCACGTTATAGTCATTTGATTTTATTATTATTCCTACATTTGAATAACGAGAAATCAACATGAGTGATATAAAATAACAAGGATTGCAGTGGTTAGGACTAAGTTTCGTAATACCTCATAAAATTAAGATCATGAATGATGATGATGAAGAAGAAGAAGAAGAAGAAGAAGAAGATGATGATGATGATGATGATGATGATGATGATGATGATGATGATGATGATGATGATGATGATGATGATGATGATGATGATGATGATGATGATGATGATGATGATGATGATGATGATGATGATGATGATGATGATGATGATGATGATGATGATGATGATGATGATGATGATGATGATGATGATGATGATGATGATGATGATGATGATGATGATGATGATGATGATGATGATGATGATGATGATGATGATGATGATGGTAATTTGCTTTCTATACAGCGAGGAATACCAAATCAACCAAATCCAGTTTACTATACCACAATTTATTTGCTTTGTTTTAAAAAAAACTTACGCTTGTTTTGGAACAAGACCTAATGCTTTACAATATTGTTCTAATGTTATAACACCAGTTTTCTCAGCATCAAACCGACGAAGAAATGTCTGAAAAATGTTGTATGAGAAGTTTAATTATACATATATTCAAAATGATAGATATCATATAGTAGGGAACCAATAATGTCTTTCAGAATGATAATAAAACTATTCAATCCATAGTACATAACACTACTGAAAAATATTCTGTTGCATTCTATATCTGTTGGTACTACTTTGTTTGTCTGTAAGTTAGTAGTGGATTGTCAGTTCTGAAGTACTACATTTATAGAAGTATTGATAATCAGGCAAAATCATTGGCCCTAACATTACGGGTGTGAGTAAATGAATATTCAATTATCAAATGATACTGCTCGCTTATCAATAAAATTGACAGAGACTGTTACGTGCTCCATCTCATCTCATATAAACCAAACCAATCTGGTTTGAAATATTTATCAAAAAAACTTGAAAGATAATGCATTTTTACTGTTGATGATAATGTTGTTCAGAAGAACGATGAAAGCTCCACGACAAAACCATCCAGCTCAAAGAACAAAAATCCATCAAAATCATCCACATGAGCTACAAATCTTTCCCAGCATTTTTACTGTTGATTGATTAAATATAGTGTCCTTGGTTTTAGTGTCTCTTACTGTTAATTTCTGAAAGTGTAAGATAATAAAAAACACTGTATATTTGAAAGTTTGTCTTCGTCGACGACTTTCAAGACACTTTCAGAATCTTTTTTCCGTTCAGTATATAAGTTTATTTTATTATCAATACCACGCAATGATCATAGTTAAACAACTATGGAAAACCAGGAGGATCTGGACAGATATTTTATTTTAGTATGGGACTTCCCAACAATGCATTTCCAGAATCCTACTAAAGATCGAAGCCATGACCTTCAGGTTTTACGGTAGCCCTTAGATCAGCAAGTCACCACTCAACGGTCTATACATCTAACTTTAATTGATATACGACATTTCACAACCTGATTTTATAGGTAAGTAACTGCTTCGTACTGAACATGGTAACCAGAGGAGTACAATTATGTTATCTAATTCTAAGATTAATAAAATACAGAAATAACTAACTACTGATTATGACAATAAGTAGTACATACAATTCTAAATTTTACGCAAGATAACAGGAATTGAAATTACCAACTGTAAATACATCATTTATACTTACTTCTGGAAAACTATCTTGTAGACCATGTTTTTTATTATATGAACTTAAGTCATTCAATGATATCACTTCACGATTATCTGTATCCAAAGCGAAAAAAGCGTCCAAAAATGAGTCCATCTTTAGAAAAACAAAAGAATGGAAAATGAATAACACAACAAAATGATTTGATAATTTAGTTAGTTTCGTTATCCGCTATTTGGAAAAAAATCAAATGAAATTAGAAGTCCATAGTTGAATTCATGGGTCGATTAAAGTTAGACTACCATGGAAAACTTAGAAGCACTGGACGGGTGTTTCGTCCTAGTACAATACTCCTCAGCAGTGCATATCTAGGTTTTCCATAGTAGTCTAGTTTTATTCAACTCATGAATTCAACTATTAAAAATTTCAACAATATCCACAAAACCCTGAAAATGATCATCATGTGCTCACTAATGACTGGCTCCAAGAGGTATTTCATGGAATTCTTGTAAGAAGCGGTGACAAGTGGAGTTCGACCATGTCCGCTGTGTAGTAGTTACTCACAGAAGACAATAATGGGCGGTGGCTCAATTTTGTGGACTAGTTGAAGGTAGAAATTAACGCCGTTGAATACCGGCTGGCTTCGTGGTCCTGGGTTCTAATCCTACCGTGTGAGATTTTGGGCGAGCACTACTGTATCGTCTCACAATAGGAAGAAACGGCCGTCCAGTGCTTCCGGGTTTTCCATGGTGATCTAAGTTTAATTAACTCAGTAATTCAATACTACCGATCTGGACGACTATTTATAGGCTTTAGTGAAAAAATCTCTCGAAGATGATTTTAGCCAATCTGAATTGGAAAATACTGTTCATTAAGAAATATGACAGCCATCTTACAATCAATAATCTATAGACATAGATGAATAGTATTGTGATGTATGCTACTTATGTTTGTCGACATAAGTAATATATAACACCGATCAAAAGTGGAAAACTTGGCAGCAGGATGCTAAGAAAATGGAGGTGAAGAAAACAGAAAAGGAAATAGAAAGGAATTGTGAATCGGAAGAATCATACAGAATGTGAAGGACAATTGATGAAATATTTTCAGATGAGTTATTTAATGTCTGGTTTTCACATTTTACCAAAGAGTTCTGTGATTTTATATTAAACAATAAATTGGTTTTCCCAATCTGAGTTCTCATTCACTACAGGATCAGGATATATATATGACTTAGTCGTGAAGCTTTCATTGTCCTTCTGGAAAACATCATCATTAGGTACTTTATAGAGATATGAACTAATAGAATTTCTCCTGTTGACATGAAATCTGAATGATCGTTATTTCTGACTTTACATCCTGGATAACACAACACCTCTAAAATATTCCTACCTGAACTGCAAATATTCTTAAACACTTCATAAGCATAGTTTCCATCACAATTTGACTTCAGTCAGATAACTTGCCAAGAATTAAGAAACACTGATCAGCTGTTTCGTCTTGGCTGAGCGCTCTTCAGCCAGTCGGCTGCAACGTAGGACCAGACACATATATGCATCGGTCCAAGTTGCCATACCTCATTAACACAACAAGATAAACACCGAATTCATAAAATTAGTTACTACAATGCTAGTAATATATAAAAGAAAGATTGTGTATATGGATATAATACACGGAGAAAAAATTAGTTCGTAGAAATAAATGTATGAATTAATTTTGTTCTCATGGTTTAAAAGAAGACAAAGAGAGTATACATCGACTCCATTGTGATCGATTGTGAACCATGTCATCCAGAGTCTCCAACCATCGATTACCATAGTCACACAGACCCCAATCATGTAATCTGCATCTACCAACATTGCTTAGACTAGAAGTTAGTGACTTTATGAACTGATGCCACGTTTTGATTTGAGCACTCCTCAATAGTACTCTTTCACATGATCCAAAAACATAGTTTTGTTGATCAGTGTAAATGATAGTTAATCTTATATTTTAAAAAAAACAGTCAACCAGCTAAAACTTATTGTTGATTATTTAGTTACTTAGGGTATACAACAAAGCTAGCAAGATTATATGTGCTACAACTAACAAATATAACTGATTTACTAAATTACATAAATGATTCCTTCACCAACGCAAACATTAATCATAATCATTCATTATAACATATATGTAAATCTAAGAAAATCTATGTTTCCAAATTGAATTGAACTTATGTATTATGCAAATTACTACTGTTAGTTTGGGGTAGTAAAATACAACAACAACCAAAACATGATGCCATAGATGTTCATATAGCAGGAGATCAGCTAATATTTAATAAAACGTTTTGTTTGATTGAATATAGTTATATATTCACTATCCAATAAGACCCCTATTCACAATTAAATCACTTCACATACATAAAATCTGGGGAGTAAAGTCAATAAAATTAGTGATTTACACATTTTATTTCGATTTATCACTCAATTCTTATTAGAAGGGGTTTTGTGGAGATTGTAGTAGTTTTAATAGTTGAAATCATGAGTCAGTTGAAGCTAAATCACCATAGAAAACCTGGATGCACTGAACGGCCACCTCATCTTATTGTGGGACTCCTCAGTAGTGAGCATCCACGATCCCGCACCGTGGGATTCGAACCCAAGATTCACCAATCTCTAGGGCGAACCCTTAACCTCTAGACGGCTGAGCCACCCGGCATCCAACGGTATTAATGTCTAACTTCAACTAATCCACGAAATTGGATGCTCACTGCATAGGATTTCAGTACTTGGACGAAACGGCCGTCCAGTGCTTCCAGGTTTTCCATGGTGATGCAACTTCAATTGACTCGTGGTTTCAACTATTAAAATCACTCATTTATTAATTAGTAATATGTAAATATGTATGTAACTAAATATTGAATGATCAATACAATCGAAAAAAAACCCAGATTTAATCAATGAATAGAATATTTTATTGCAAACTATGAAATGAAATTCACTTTGATCTCATACAGTGTGCACAGTGTGCCAAATCAGTAACTTAGCAACGTTACTACTACTACTACTACCACATTACTAGTAGTAGTATTAAGGTTATACTATTAGTCGTATTGATATGTATCCTAAAATATCGTTGAATTATGCTAATTATTATCATTTTCACAATAATCTTATTTAAACTTGTTGATTATTGTAGTTAAACGAGGAGTCGTAAAGGTGGATATGGTGATTTAATGAAGTAAAGTGCAAATAAATCTGCTGAGTGGTTAAAGTTAGTTAACAGCAAATGCTGGATATAGGTTACTTGATATTTAGCACTCCAAATTGACAGTGAGCTATTCGGGTCGCGACCGACCTCCTATATTACTGAGATAATCCAAAGTTGCTTGGTCGCTGCTTAATGACCTATGCAATATTTCCCTAATAATTTCAGTATTGATCGAATTCTATAGATTAAACTGCAATGTGTCCACTAGTCTAAATGACTCAGCACCGTGTGGACTATGATGAGATACTAGATTGTTGAAATTGACTGACAGGAAAATCCATACATAGATTTTAAGCTAGTTACTTAATAGGGATTAGTAAGAAGGATCAGATTGGTAGCTACTTGGTGATTAGTTAGTTTTAATAGATCCTTGTTGCTCGTTTCTACATATGATATGAGATTCATGCGGCAGAGACTATAATTTGAAGTTGGTGTGCACAAAAGGCCCCATAGACTTCATTTGTATTCAGTGGGTTATAATATAAAGAATTCTTGAAGTCTAACATCCTTTTAACACTAGTGAAGCATGAATAATCTACATTATTTTACGTTTTCTTTTCTATTATTATTCTGAAGAGCATATATTATTTGTTATTTATAACTGACTTTAATCAGTCTTTATTGACGTCCATGTTTTTTAGCAAATACTACGAATCCTCCGGTAGTGAACTCCAGGAGGTATATCCGGTCCTGTTTCAGGCTCTTCAAGAATGAGATCCAATTAATTCCAGGTGATAAGTTCTCAATAATAAGATATTACTGTTTTGGATTTCATTGTAAGTCACTATCTAAAACTATCATAGTTTGTCTCACGTTATATGTTTCCTAAAAACTGAAAGGATAATTGCTTATATAGTCTTTTGCTTGATTAACATATGATCAAGAGGTTAAGCGCTCATGTGCGAGACTGATAGATCCTGGGTTCGAATCTCGCACGCCGGGATCGTGGTTGCGCACTACTGAGGAGCCCTAAAATAGGACGAAACGGTCATCCAGTGCTTCCAGGTTTTCCATGGTGGTCTGGCTATAACTGACTCATGATCTCAACTATTGCAATAACCTTCTCATACTTACATTTTAGCTTTTGGTAAGCATATACTAATCTAACTTTAACATTATTCATTGGTTCATATTCAGTGTTTACCTTGGACCACATACTGTTTTGACCTCAAAGACCATTCACTAAACTTAATAGCCTAATTTTTATGTTGTGTTTTTCGTAACCGACTTTAATTTAATCAATGTGAATTAATTTATACAATTAAATATTTGCTACTTTGAGTGCGGTAATAGTTCATAGTTCAATACTGAAACTAATCAACCAATTAAAAATTAGAAATTAACACCGTTGAATACCAGCTGGCTCAGTGATCTGGTGGTTAAGTGCTCACGCGCGAGATCAATAGGTCCTAGGTTCGAATCTCGCGAGCGGGATCGTGAATGCGCACTGCTGAGGAGTCCCACAACGGGACGAAACGGCCGTCCAGAGCTTCCAGGTTTCTAATGGTGGTCTAACATCAATCGGTTCATGATCTCAATCAATACTTAACAATCTCCACAACCCCTATACTCATAATGAAAACATCAAATCTAATTATTAACTTTAACGTCGTTCAATTATAAATCCTAATCCTAATTCATTCACACTAATCCATAACCTTCATTTAACCCTGGTAAGTAGGTAGACATTCCAAGATCATTGTAGCATTTCTCAAAGATCATTCACCAATCAAACTAATGAATGAAATGATTTAATAATCATCATTCAGCACTACATTAATGTAGTTTCATTGATTGAAATCATGAGTCAATTGAAGCTAGACCACCATGGAAAACCTGGAAGCACTGAACAACTGGCCGTTTCATCCTAATATGGGACTCCTCAACAGTGCGTACCCACGATC